GAAGAATATGCACCGATATGCGGGAATTTGACAGACACGCAGAACACCTAAAGCATTTCTTATTGAAACAAAATTATTCGGAAGACATTATTGACGATGCCATACTACGTGCTCGCAACGTGAACAGGAATGATATAATTAAGGGACCAAACTGAGTATCTAAAACGACTTCCCAAACGAACCTTGTACTAACTTACTCCTCATCAGCGCCACGAATCAACAACATACTTTCCCGCCATTTCAACATAATCAGACAAAGCAAACGACTAACTTCTATTTTCGCGAAGCCACCTCACGTGGTGTACAGCAGGTATAAAAATCTGGAGGACATTCTTGTCAGAGCAAAAACAAACACCCCCAAAATTCAATCAGGTTGCCATCCCTGCGGAATAGCTCGATGCAAGGTATGCCCACAGATGGTCACAACACGTGAATCCAAAGCGACCTTCTCGTATTTCAAATTTTGCATAACTGAAAGCCTTAATTGTGACTCCAGTAACGTAATATACATGCTACATTGCAACATCTGCGGACAAGAATATATCGGCCAAACAGACACGCCATTTCGGCTGCGGTTCAATAATCACCGGTACCACGCCACTTCACTGTGGAAGCTACCTTTATCTAGACATCTGCGCCTGCCAAACCACAGTTTTCAGCTGAAATATCAGCGTAACTCTTTTGCAGTCCGGTTTCTCAAACAGGCGCGAGCGCGAACACCGTGAGGCATATCTTATTTTCAAATTTCGAACATTAGTAGCCGGCATCAACGAGGACCGCGGAAGACTCTCCTGCCTTCGAGAAGTAAGGCAGGAGGAAATTGGGGACAAAGACTGATAGCTGGAGACCATGCTTTTTTTTACTGACTCGTACGTGTACATAGTCCTTTCTTGTTTTTTGTTTTTTTTTCTTATTTTTTCTTTTTTTCACATGCACCTACAATGTGTTTCTGTTCGCCTACCACTTGATGACCATTGAAGGGAAACGGACGAAGATAAAAGGTAAAGAGCCGACCGACAAAATAAGGGGAAACCCTTTCCTTACGCACACCGTCACGGACACCTCCCGCCACCGCGACGACAATCTTGGGTGGCCCGACACACGTCGAAAACTAACCAGCACGGGATAAGAACCAGATGGACGTACACGGACGTCTGGTTTCGTTCTGTGTTGACAGTAGTTCTTCCTCTTTTTACTTTCTTTTTTCTTTTGTATTTTTTTCTTTTTTTCTTTTTGTCTTTTTCCTTTTTTCGTTTTTCTTTCTTTCTTTTTTAGTTCTCTCTCACTCTCGCAAGCATTTTTCAAGGCGAGAGGGACGCGGCAGCAACGAAATTTGGAAGTTCACGTTAGTATAACTCATCCCCTGATGAAGAATCATTGAAACTGCCGTCCCTCGAATCTCGTCGTATCATTTCTCGATTGTGTCTGATGCATGCTTTCTATTATCACCCTCAATCACGGCACGTCCTCCTTCAACCATCACACAGAACTTCATCCCGCATAAACCACAGTCACCCTATCGCACCAATAAATGGACACACTTCTGCAATGATTACTTCCTTCTTTCCCAATGGGATAACACTGTGGAATAAACTACCTGATAATATAGTTACGTGTAATAACCGCCAAATTTTCCGCAGTAAGCTAAAATGTCACATGTCGCAATCTAACTGAATGTGCTGTTTTCCCTGCCAATGTTTAAATACTTTTTTTTTTAACTAATGTATAACTGTCGTCACTTTTCTCTGGAAGCTTACCTTTGTACCATTACTTTTTTATTTGCATTTGGTAATATTGGCGTTTTACTTTGCATATTGTACCTTTTTTTTCATTGTTTCTTTGAATGTTTACGTTTTGGAACCCTTCGAGTTTTGGTTGAGTTGTTCGACATACCTTGTACGCCGCCCCCCTTATGTAATGCCTCCGGGCCTTAAGGTGGAATAAATGAAAGGGAGGATCCCTCCCGAAACTGTTGGGAAAAAATTATAATTATCCATGTTGACAAAGCTCCCGTTGTGCCATATCCCATACCGTCACGAAGACAAACTGGCCCATTGAATTACTACTCCCATTATATATATATATATATATATATATATGTATATATATATATATATATATATATATATATATATATATATGTAATATCTCTATATTTATATAGTGAAACTATAGGAAACCTGGGATAGGCAAAAATCGGATGTACGAACTAGGGGACAAAGAAGGCAAAAGAACTACCAATATGGAAAGGATAGTTAAAATAGCGGAGGAGTTTTACAGAGATCTGTACAGTAGCCGGGACAACCACGACTTTAACACTATAAAAACTAGCAGTAACCCAGATGACACTCCACCAGTAATGATAGAAGAAGTCGGAAAAGCTTTGGAGAGCATGCAAAGAGGCAAAGCTGCTGGTGAGGATTAGGTAACATCAGATCTGCTGAAAGATGGAGGACAGATTGTGTTAGAAAAACTAGCCACCCTGTTTACGAGGTGTCTCCTGACGGGAAGAGTACCAGAGTCTTGGAAGAACGCTGACATCATCTTAATACATAAGAAAAGAGATGACAAGGACTTGAAGAATTACAGGCCGATTAGCTTGCTCTCTGTAGTATACAAGCTATTTACAAAGGTAATTGCTAACAGAGTAAAGAAAACATTAGAATTCAATCAACCAAAGCAACAAGCAGGATTTCGAACAGGCTACTCAACAATCGACCACATTCATACTATCAATCAGGTAATAGAGGAATGCTCAGAATATAACCAACCACTATACATAGCCTTCATAGCTTACGAGAAGGTGTTTGATTCAGTAGAAATATCAGCCATCTTACAGACACTGCGGAATCAGGGCGTCGATGAAGTATTTATAAACAGCCTGGAAGAAATCTACAGGGGATCAACTGCTACCGTAGTGCTTCATAAAGAAAGCAACAGAATACCAATCAAGAAGGGTGTAAGGCAGGGGGACCAATCTCCCCAATGCTATTTACCGCGTGCTCACAGGAGGTTTTCAGAAGCCTAGAATGGGAACAGTTAGGGATAAGAGTTAATGGAGAGTACCTTAGTAACCTGCGCTTCTCCGATGACATTGCATTGCTGAGAAACTCGGGGGCCGAAATGCAACTCATGATTACGGAGTTAGACAAGGAGAGCAGAAAGGTGGGTCTTAAAATGAATCTGCAGAAAACGAAAGTAATGCACAACAACCTCGGAAAAGAGCAGCGCTTCGAGATAGGCAATAGTGCACTTCAAGTTGTAAAAGACTATGTCTACTTAGGGCAGGTAATAACCGCGAAGCCGAACCACGAGATTGAAGTAACTAGAAGAATAGGAATGGAGTGGAGCACATTTGGCAAGAGGAAGGTATATAACAGCTGTATCTTGCCGGTACTTAGCTACGGAGCAGGAACCTGGAGACTTACAAAGAGGATTCAGCTTAAATTGAGGACGACGTAGCGAGCAATAAAAAGAAAAACAGTAGGTGAAACCTTAAGAGACAAGAAGAGAGCTGAGTGGATTAGGGAACAAACGGGGTTTAAGGATATCATAGCTGAAATCAAAAAGAAGAAATGGACATGGGCCGGGAATGTAGCGCGTAGACAGGATAACCGCTGGTCGTTAAGGGTAATTAGCTGGATTCCCAGAGAAGGCAAGCGGGTTAGGGGAGACAGAAGGTTAGGTGGGCAGATGAGATTAAGAAGTTTGCGGGTATAAATTGGCAGCAGCAAGCTCAGGACCGGGTTAACTGGTGGAACATGGGAGTGGCCTTTGTCCTGCAGTGGACGTAGTCAGGCTGATGATGATAATGATGATGATGATGATGATGATGATATAGAGTGGGAGTAATATTTCGATGGGCCAGTTAGTCTTCATGAAGGTATGGGATATGGCACAACGGCAGCGTTGTTAACAAGGGTAAATATTCCTTTTTTAGTTCTCTCTCACTCTCGCAAACATCTTTCAAGGGGAGAAGGACGCGGCAGCCACGAAGCTTGGAAGTTCTTGTAGTATAACTCATCCCGTGATTAAGGGAGGACCTCTCCCAAATAATAAAAAACATTCAAAAGTGGCTTCACAGGCTACTTCCTGAATAGAATGTACATGACCTTCTTTCGTAAATAGCAATTATACGGACACTCTCTGTGGGCTTTTTCTGTTGCCTTCATGCTCCACATAAAGCACAAATTAAAAACAATGCTCCGCGCACTGTACGCTCTATGCACGAAAAGCATGAAAGCACTAAGGACGAATGCGGCAGAAGCACAGATGAAATAAGGCAGTCATCTCCGTCGCACGAAAAATACATGCAATAAAATCAACCTGCTTGCGAGGTTTGCAGTTGATGGCCGTTCAAGCAAAGTGAAAATGCCCCAGTCATCTTTCACCAAGCGAAGGAGTCAGTGGAGCGAATGGAACAGTGGCCTGCATCTCTCGAGCAGCAACTGCGAACTTTGCTAACAAGGGTGCGGTCGCGAGCACTGGCGCGTATACTATGTCAACAGACATTGCAAGATGGCTTGTAAACTTGTTAATTAAGGTCTCTATGCTTCACGTTTAGAAAATACGTTGACAGTGAGAAAACTATCTTGGTCCCTGGAGCAGCCGAATTCCTTTAAACCAGCATTTTATTGAGATACACGAGATCAGAACTAAAGAGTTAGCTGTTAGCCCTACTTCGTATAACATTCCACTTTGTTGCTATACCATTCATTGTACACCACCCTTGCAGGAAAACTGATTTTTTCTGTCTTACAATAGTTGCGTGTCACAATTCAGGCTATTATGAGTGCCTCACTGGGCATATTTTCCTTTTCTTAACACTATCATTTGAATTCATACCTTCATTCAAGCATTCAGTTACGCTCTCAAGCCTTCAATAGGATGAAAATATTTTAAACTAAAATTTTTTACACACAAAACTTGTTCCACCTATGGAACCCTGCAGTTTTTTTAGTAAGTCGTGCCAGAGATTCAGAAGAAATCTATGAGACCTACTTGCCACTGGACTTCTTGAGCTCCATTTCCTTTTTGTCCTTGTATGATTTGGCCTCTGCACGAAACAACGAAGAAGAAAGATGCGAGTGACGAAGCATCAAAACAAATATTAGCCATATGGCACGCTGCATGCATTAAATTGGCAACACTTGTAGTCAGAACGTGTTTGTAAGCCAATTGCGAGGTTGCAGATGCCACCAGGAAACACAATGCTGCCAAGTGTGGAGACTGAGAAGGTTGCAAGCCGCCTTTTCATCCATCTCATTCTTTTGCTTGTTCTTTGGTGTTATCTGACGGTTTATCACATGTCTACAGTCACCAATAATCTTATCTGCAATTTTAACATATTGCATTCACTGTTTCTTTGAGCCCCAAAAGCCCAATGCCTTTGAATATTATCTGCCCCTCTTCACACGTTTAAATAGGGCTTCTAAATGAAATACAATAGACAAGCAAACTGAAATTATTCTTGATTGATAAGCGTTGCAAGTGAATGAAGCCACCTAATGGATGTAGCCTTGGAACCTGACACATTGCAAACAAATGCACCAATGTAGCGTGTACACAGCTGCTAGAAAGCTTACCTGTACCTTCACCTTCTTGTTCCTCAGACTTCTTAGCCTTGGCCGGCAACAGATGGAGCAGACGACCCTGTTTGAAGGGAGCAGTTCAGAAGAGAGAGACAATTAACAGATCAAAAAGAAGCAATGTTAAAAGGGCACAAAACATCAGAAAGAATCAGTGTTTTGCTAGTTATGACACTATGTTTAGAAAATGAACATTAAGCTTGGGAGATCAGAGTGCAAACAAAATTTATACATTTAACATTTATATTCTGAGCTTTATTTACCATCATAACCTTGCTCTTGTCGACTTTCCTGAAAATGCACGTACAAGATCGGAGTGCTAGCCACAGTCAACACTCCTATGGCTAATGTTGTACATATACACAACCTACTAGCTAAACATAAACTGTAATCTAGCAAATGCATAGAGACCATAAGCTTAGATCACGCACAAGTATGGCCTGTCTCCGGCACTTCACAACTAGACCTTTTGCTCCCTTTCACCACCATTCTCTTCTGTCTTTCTTGATGTAAATTACATGCAGCTATTCATTTAGACTATGCATTTGGTGGGTTCATTCTTTATTTCCTGCACAGTACTGTTGAAATACAATATCAGGGCTATTACATGCCAAAACTATGATATGATTATGAGCCACACTGTAGTGGAGAAGTCCAAAAATTTTGACCATCTGGTGTTCTCTAACATGCACTGACATTGCACAGTTTCGCCTCCATTGAAACACGACTGCCATGGCCAGAATCAAGCCTGCGGCCTTTGGGTCAGCGGCTGGAGACCGTATTCTCTAAGCCACTATGGCAGGCACACTACTGTTGTAAATAAACATTCAGAAAAGCATGAAAGCATGTGAATAATAGGAATATCAACACATCAGTGGAGATAAAGTGAGCTAGTAAACTGACACCCTTCTTTTTTTTTTAACTGAAAATATAAATAATGCAATAAAGAAGACATTCTATAATTAAAGATGCTTGGCCAAAGAGGTACACTACTTTAGTGCAAGAACTATAGAAAAAGTCACACAATGCAAACTTCACACAGGCATTTTTACCAGGACATTCACGTGTGACGTGTCACCGTGATGGATTAGGTCCACAGGCCAAGCACAACCGCGCTGCAGAAATGCGTGTATGCAAAGAAATCAACATATACCATAATAACACACTGCGCGCAAACCGATCAATAAAGTAGCCTGTAAGCACACTGGACCCTAGGGTGCTTTGTATTTTCTGCCACTCTCAGATTAAAAATTAAATAAAAATTTTCACAGCTGCTGTATTTATTCGGGTGCAATTCGACATAATTTTGCAGTTTCAGAGAAACTTGATGAAGGAACTCTCTTCGTTCGAGTAAGTGCAGCCATTCTGTCCTTGGTTTTATTTATTTTATTTACATTTCACCTACATCGCCGTACGGCATTACGTAGGGAAGGTACACATGATAATTGACTATATAGTCTTCAATCGAAACAATAGATACAACAAATACAACAGCACTCGAGATATTTTAAGAAAAAAAGAAAAACACTCGAATGTTGGTGAGCGAAAACAATGTCACAGTCATGCATTTGCAAACACCCACACGATTCGAGACAACAAACCATTCTTAGTGGCAGTGATATTGTAGGCGTTGTTACAAGGAAGAAAAAACGATTCATTATCAGTTTCATTGAGGAGATCATCCGGTAGATGGTTTCATTCCTGTATTGTTTTTACGAAAAAAGAACTACCGAAAGAGTTGGCTTTGTGGCGGTATTCTAATATTTTTTGTGCATGGTCTTGACGATTAGAGACGTATATTTGTGTGAATAGATAATCAAGAGGGTTAATGGCATTTCCATTATAATATATATAATGAAGAAATTTAAGCCTCAGTTTCTGCCTCCTTATTATCAGTGTCTCCCATTTCAATGCTCGTTTCATTTCTGTGATGCTTGCAAAGGAATTATAGTTCTTGCTAACAAATCTGGCTGCTTGGTTTTGAACTTTTTCCGGTGTGTCAATCAAATTGTAAAATGTCTACCATAGCACTAAATATGACTGAGGTGTCATGACAATATGTGGCTATTACAATGTGTGACAATTTATGGCTATTAGAATATGTGACAATCTGTGACCTAGTGCAATAAGTGGCTAGTGCTACACAAAAGGAAGCATGCCCACTCAAGGTTCTCTGCCCACAATAAATATAACACTCATTGTGTCCCTTGATGATGTACCCCATTTCCCACCTGAAGCATCTGGCCGTCCAGTTCGGTGAAGGCCCGGATTGCATGCTCGGGAAAGAGAAAGCTGACAAAGGCAAATCCCTTTGGCTTGCGTGTCACCCGATCAATGGACAGGTGCACTTCTTCTAGAGGGCCTGTAAGACGATGAGAGAAAAAAAATATTGTGTATTGTCAAACGACTGCTCACTATAATTTAAGCTCACATTGGCTCCAAGTCGTCCGTAGAATGTAAAGCCCAAGTTTCAAGTGCCTTCAGACTATGTGCCGGCAAAGACACTTCGGGCGTCCAAGGACCGAGCCAAACTAAGAGCTACTGCTGCTGTATAAAAATATGCAATGCATGCGCACTGCTACTTTTGTGAATGTACAGTTAAGCCTCGTTAGAATTAAGTGAGTAAAATTGGCAAGTAACCTTGTTATACTGAAATTCATCTCTTCTACAACGTATAGTCGCCAATGAATTTTTCAGTTTGTTCAATGGAAGATGCCCTGAGAAATTTCTGCATAACCATGCTGGTTATGAATACACAAAAGTCAGTTTTGTTGATACCGAGAGCTAACGGTAATTTACGCTTCCGTGCCACATCAGCAACGTCCTCATCAAGCGGCAATATGGCATACGGAAAGCCAAAAGAAATGCAGGTATAATGCACTGAAAATCAGCACAAGCAAAACAATCATGCCCAATCTGCTCCAGGGGCTTGCCATCAATGCTTTAGGCATTGCCTAGAGTAGCACGACGCTGCTCTAAACATGCTCAAAGAGCATAAAATGCAAATGAAATTCAGTGCAATGTCACAATTGCGACCAATGTCCATTGGTCGCATTCATCGACTTGGACATCACAAAGGCAAGTGCCTAGTGATCATATACCTCCAAGATTTCAACAAAAAAGAGGAAATATTCGCTAATGTAAAAAAGCTAAAAGGCAGCTCAATATTTGTCCAGAATGACTACTCCGCATTAACATTAAGAAAACGAAAACTACTGTGGGAAAGTGCTAAAAGTCAAAAGCAACTCGGGAAGAAGGTCTCTCTTATTCACGACAGACTAAGATTAGATAAAGAATACTTTTATTGGGAGGAAACACTGAACAAATGTATTAAAGCAACAAAAACCACACAGTCCACGCACGTAAAAGGTCAGCGCGATAATACATCGACATTATCTTGCAACTGACATGATGCCTTTAAAAGCCCTAAACAAGTCCAAATATGGAATGTAAACGCCCGCAGTGTGAAAAACAAAACTGAATCCTTAGAAATTTTGTTGCTACAGTATGATCCTCATGTAGCTGTCTTAACAGAAACCTGGCTGAATGAGGAGATATGTGACAATGACATATTCCCCCCTTCTTACACAGTGTTTCGTAGAGATCGGCAGGCTAGGGGCGGAGGCGTGGCTATCTTAGTTAAAGATAGTGTTCAGGCGGTTTTATTAGATGACGTAGTAGGTATTGAAAGCCTGCGTATTAAAATCTCTATCTGGGGTCAGAGTTTCATGTTGTATGCACTTTATAGATCTCCAGATGCCACAACAGATGCATTAGAGACGCTTAATAATGAAATGTCAATGCACGAAAATAAGAAAATTGTTCTTCTCGGTGATTTCAACCTGCCGGGAGTAGATTGGCAAGGCATTGCTGCCAGTAGCTCATATAATAAACACGTTAGCATTATGTTCGATATTATGTTAAGGTATAATTTAATGCAGGTAGTCCATGAACCAACTCGTGTACAGATTTTATCTAGCTCTGTGTTAGACCTGGCATTTATCAGTCGTGATTTTTCTGATTGCACTGTAGAAGTGGAGCCAGGGTTCTCTGATCAGCATCTCATAAGCATATTATTACCACTTCAACCACTTAAAAAGTATAAACACGTCCCTGCACGTTCTTTTAAGGACTTTTCTCATGCCAATGACCCAAGCATTATAAATTACTTGCAAAACTGTTTGATTGATTTCGAGGGCAACAATGCTCAATTACTTTGGAACAAGTTCAAAGACATGTGTCACTATTGCCTGGATAATTTCGTCCCTAATAAACTGAAAAAGTTAAAAAAGAATTGCCTTGGATGAATCGGAAAATCATTCAACTAAAACGCAGGATAAAGAGATATAAAAAAAAAACATGTGCAGAATGACAAAATAAGGCAGATGCAAGATGACCTCGCTCATGCACTTCGCGCAGCAAAAGAATATTATTTCAAAATATAGCTTCCTAACTTCATAAAAAATGAGCCTGATAAGTTTTGGCACTACATAAAAGATTGCAAGAAACCAGTTACTCAAATATCAGTTGACGGGAAGCCGGTGACAGATAAGAGTGAGATTGCTCAACACTTCAACAACTATTTTCAAGAAGTATTCTCTAGCGCAACTGTATGCGCGTGTGATGGCATATTCTCCAAACAATTAGATATGAGTTTTGTATCCTATGCTGGGGTATTCATTATGCTTCTTAACTTGAAAACTAAGAGTTCTTCTGGTCTTGATGAAATCCCTAACATATTTCTCAAACGATATGCCGAGCTTCTTGCAAACTTTCTTGTAATCTTGTTTCGTGTCTCAGTCATCACTGCACAACTGCCTATTGACTGGAAGATAGCCCGGGTTCGTTCCCGTGTTCAAGAAAGATGACAGGACACTTATACAGAACTATCGTCCTAATTCACTGACATGCCAATGCTGCAAACTTGTGGAACATATTATAGCCAACTGTGTTCGTGAATTTCTAGAAAATAATGCTGCACTAACAGAACATCAGCATGGCTTTCGAAAAGGGTATTCGACGATAACCCAACTAATAACAGTAGTTCACTCATTCGCTTCATCTCTTGATTCTAATGGCCAAGTAGATGTAATATTTTTTGATTTTAGTAAAGCTTTTGACAAAGTTCCGCACAATAAACTAATCATATAGCTTAGAATTCTTTGCGTCCCTGAACACTTCATTAGATAGATTTCTGCTTACCTGACTAACAGAAAGCAATATATTGACATTGGAGGTGAACGTTCTGAAAGTTTGGCAGTCACTTCAGGGGTGCCACAAGGCATTGTCCTAGGCCCCCTCCTTTTCTTGGTTTATATTAATGATATTGTTAGCGTAGTAAGCCCTGGTGTTCAAATTCAATTTTTTGCAGATGACTGCGTATCATTCAAAAAAATTTTTCATCTTGATGATCAGGTTGAGTTAAATAGCAATTTAAATAACGTATTGCAGTGGTGCGAAAAATGAGGCATGGTTTTGAACGCCGATAAAGCCATACTTCTCCTTATAACGCGTAAAAAAGCACCCCTGTCTTTTACACACCAGCTTGGTTCTTCGCCAGTTAGGCAAGTCGATAGCTATAAATACTTAGGCGTTACAATAACAACTACCTTATCGTGGAATAAACATATAAATATTATTTCCTCCTCTGCATTCAGAAAACTTTGCTTTGTAAAACATAAGCTTCATAATGCCCCAAGCAATGTTAAATTACTGGCCTATTATTCTTTAATAAGACCTAAATTAGAATACGCGAGTGCAGTATGGGACCCATACACTCAAACTAACATCAAGTGCCTGGAAAGAATACAAAGGAAAGCCGTTCGGTTCATTTTTAACAAGTTCTCACGAGTCGACTCTCCTTCTGAAATAATGAAGGCCAATGGCATTGCCTTTCTTAGCACACGTCGAAAACAGATAAGAATTGACCTTCTTTCTCTTCTTCTGAACCACAAACTTGCGATTGACCCATCGCCGTACCTGAAATCGCTATCAACCAGACTCACAAGGCATCATCACGCCAAATCTCTAACACCCTATTTCTGCAGTACAGACGCTTATAAGTTCTCATATTTTCCACGCACGGTCTCAGATTGGAACCGAACAACTCGGGCATCCTCAGAGAATCTATTTCTCCTTCGTTCTAAATAGCATTGTCCTGAAAATTCAGGTTTCCGATCTTTTATTACAGCGTTTTTCTTTTCTTTTTGTTTTCTTTTTCATCTTGTATGTGTTGTACTTATTGTATACTTATGTATTCATTACTTTCTTGGCTTGAACGGTAAAAATAATTGTGTTTACTGTTTTGTATTTGTTATGTATTTATTTTTACTTTAATCGCACAACATACGAAGTATGAATTTGTTGTGTTTTTTCTTTTTTGTCCGATACATGCGTTATTATGAAATAATTTGCTATGTCGCTTCTTGTGTTCACTATGAGTGTATGAAACACTCACCCCAAACTATCTTTATGCCACTTATTGTTCGACTATGTCCCCTTGTAACTGCCCACCTGCTTGGACCTAAGGGCCTGCATAAATAAATAAAAAAATACTGAAAAAGTAAACTTCATAACAAGTGTGTAATAAAGGTGACCCTTATTTATCTAGTATTTGGAAAGATTCCCATCATGTGCCACCAATTGATTTCAGGAAGCCTGCTTGCAAGATAATGCTCAAGTTTTATCGATATGTCGATGCAAAAAAAATAGATTGTGTTCAGAGCTGAGCAGTAAACAACTGCTCAGCTCTGAGCACAAACTAGTGCCTAGAGCACCAACAAAGATGTAAAAACAACAAAATTGTACAATGCTTTCGTAAAGCTTATTTTCATAGAATGGGGCATTTACGATCTGTAAGCACGCACCTCATAACTCTGTTATTTTAGCATACTTGGCAGACCAGTCATTACTTGCGACGAAAAATTCTAGCGGTAGTCTCTGTGTAACTAAACTCTAACAATAAATAGCCTTAAATATATTAGGCCCATCTTCTCAATACATATTACTTATGATATGGGCTCACGGCTGAGAATTAAAACTAGTGCCTACCCTGTTGACACGATGCGACATTGCAGAATTTGAAGTACTCAATGTAGCATTGCAGAGCGAGAAAGATTCAGAACGGTATGCATTCACGATTATTTTATTAACAAATTTAGCAAAACTACATTGCTCTTACAGTGCGATCTAAATATCGGCAATGTGCAAGTTTCTTTTCCGATTGCACATAATGCATTCAGTTCTCTTCAAGATCAACAATACCGGGCCAGCGTCGCATATTATGGCAGAATCTGACCCTTGTCATGAATCACGCTATTGAACTTGAGCGCCGCAACAGTGACGTTCATTCAGCGAT